GGCAAAGACACCTCTCTGGGGCTCTCCTCTGCCGGCACCTAGCCAATTCCACATACATTTAAACTAGAGCAATGATCACAGTTGCACTCAGGAAACACGCATGTTTGCTTGGCGTGTCCTACTTTTCTAGGTTGCCACATCGTGAGGGTATACCTACCTTGAAGACGTCAACAGTTTCATACTCTTCGACCTCAAGCATTCCTGTCGGTGCATGGGTCTTCCCCATTCCTCCTGTTGACTTGGTCTGGTGATGAGATTCCTTTGTTGGCTTGGTGCCTTTCATTTTTGTTGGAAAGCCACTTGCACATGTTTTGTTTGAAGTGTCAAATGCGCGTCCATTGTCCTTTTCACCCACATTGCTGCATGCCCTGAAGTGTTCCTCTGCTTCCAAATGTCTGCAATTAAAGCCGGTTCCTTCCTGAAGCTTTTCTAGGTAAATCATCCAACAAATGAATGAGCGCATCAGACATTGAACCGGGACGTTGGGCCAAGAGTTGTTGGCACAAGGTTGGATTTGAGTCTGATGCAGAAGCTGAAGCAAAGGAGGCTTAGGTCGTGGTGCGGGGATGCACGACTAACTAATGCGAGTGCTTTTGTCCGCTAGGCCTGACTGGGTGTGAGACCGATGGTTCAATTGTCCAATATGTTCCAATGGGAGAATAGTTGTGACCCAGTGTGCCAGTTGCCCTAGGGAGTTCTAACCAAACTTAATGTGCATGTTTCAGCTGGCAGCATGCAGCGAACACCTAGCATATCCCAGGGTAGTTTAGGGCACAGTGCAAACACAACAAAGGACTTGTCGAGCCGGATAACGGGATCAATGACTATGGAGCATCCTGTCCTTGAACCTACTTTCAACTAGATAAATGTGAAACGTGTGCGTTCAAAGTTGACCGATCGAAGACATCAATTCAAAGCTTTTTCCGACTCTATGCCAGTGATGCAACTGGAAAAAACTTCTGAAACTGAGGGAAGGACGGGAAGGACGCCCATGTCTGGCAGCAATGACTGGGATCCCTGTCTAAGCCCTGCGTTCAACATTGGCGGCTCCTGCGAAAGGTCAAGCAACTCTCTGCCACTAGTTATTGGTATCCTCCTTGTTTTCAACCCCAATGTTGAGAGTCTCATTTTTTCATTTGTATTTTTTGTCTCTCTTTCTCTCTCTCTCTCTCTCTCTCTGCCTTTCCTTAGGTACAAAACCGACTATGCAATCTGTTGATGTTTAATTCCCACCGGATGCATCGTAATGGTGCGCAATACAACAATGTGCAAAGTGGGAAAATTGGCATGTCCAAGGCCTCCATCAATGTCGTCGGTGCCTTCAAAGGTGGTTTTGATTCAGCATGCACACTTCTGATTTACTTGAACACAAATCAAACATTATCTGGACTGGTGACTTGAGAGGCCTCAGGGGCTTGTCGCAGAGGAAGGGAAGCAGCCTCATGTCACGGATAATGACCAATGAACAGTTATATAACTGCCTGTGAACTTGGGGAAAGGCTGCAACGTTAGTTTTTTGGGGGGGTTGCTGAGGGGTACGCCATGCTGCATTTGTACACTTGTGTATATACATACATGTCAAAGCTCCTTTAGGAGCTACTTAGCAAAACTGAAAACAAGGAGGAACCCAAGAGACATTTTTCATTTGTACACTTGTGCATCTACACACATTTCCAAACTTCAGAAGGACCTACGTTGGCTCGTTTATGGCTTTCGGTGTTTGGCTTGTGGCCTTGGGCTTTTGGTGGTTTCTGTGGCATTTGACTTTGGTGGCTTCTGCGTTTTTTGGCTTTTGGTGGTTTGCGTGGCTTTCTATTGGTTTGGCTTTTGATTGCCTGCTTTTGGTGGTTAACGTCTTGATAGTCTTTTCTGAATATAGTTTTTTGGCGAATTTGACATTTAGGTGGTTTGTCTGGCTTTGGACTGATTTGGTTGCAGGTTGGTTTTTGATGGCCTGCTTTTGATATCATTTGATCACATTTTTTGGTGTTGTCAGTTTGTAGCTTTTGGTGGGCTGATTTGGTTTGCTCTTGGGGGCAGGCGCTGCGCCCTCCCCCCCCAACCCCCTCCAGCTTCTTGAAGCCAAGCCAAGTCAACCAAACTCCAAAAACACAACCACAGCTGCAAAAATAGCTCGCCGCCACAGAAAAACGGCACCCTCCTCAAAACACCCGGGGACTACACTGCTTGGAGCTCTACTAAGCTACAAAAGCCAGAATCCACAGCAAAAACCACAACAGCACAAAGGCAAGAGGTAAACCGAAAAAAACAAATACAAACAATTAAAAAATACATCGTCCTCCGGAAGGAAAAACATCATGAACACGACTCAAGGTGTACTGCTATTCATGGATCTGGTGCCCCTAGTGCAAAACAACTGTGCGGCAAGGACACCTCTCTGGCGCTCTCCTCTGCCGGCACCTAGCCAATGACACTTCAAACAAAACTGTTGCAAGTGGCTTTCCAACAAAAATGAAAGGCACCAAGCCAACGAAAGAACCTCCTCACCAGACTAAGCCAAACGGGGGAAGCTAATCAGCAAGTGCTTTGGAAGATTCTGGCAGCAAGGGCATGGAACCGTCGACGTCGACGTATACTATTCAAGTAATGCGTGAATCTTGAAGATTTTCTTGACTACACATCGCAAGTGGTTGTCAAGTGCACGCACTGAGGCAGTAGAACTGCAATACTGCAAACCTCTCAACACCTCAGGTTCCACCTCAAGGCCATGCTGAATACATCACAATCTTTCGATTGGCTTTGAGCTGTTTGGGTCTGGAATTCTTCAGAACCTGTGTCAGATGGAAGATTGGGGGTGACTGGGGATATTTCCTGGCGCAGGCCCAGCCTCCATCTTTGAGAGAGCTTCTTCGGAAGCAATCGTGCCCAGGAAGTCGCAAGCGTCCTAGGAAAAGGACAAATTAACATCAACATTGAAAAGGTCACCACACAGTGATATACAGTGATTCTTCGTCAACCAAACACAAAACCTTGCATCTCATGCTTTGGTAGCACAATTAAATTGAGCTTTAGGCCTTCTGGTTGTCGCGCTCCAGAGTCTCACGCAAAACATCTCTTACGAAGCAATGCATCCGGTGTGGTATACGGTATACGCTTGAATGGTTCCAGGGTTGCCGACACATCGGCAGAACCCCTGTGCAAATGAGCAAGTTGGCACATTATGCTCCAAGGGCTGGTGGGGAGCTTGAGGTTCGAGTATAGCATAGACACACACATATATATAGACACCGTTCCAACATGTCTACCTCGCGTGCGAGCAAACACACCTGGATTACCAAACCATTCAAACAAAGTGTTTGGTTGAAAACAGAGCTCTTTCATGCATTTCAGTGGCTTGTGCGGCCAACCAAATCAGAACTCAGGCCAAATTTCTTCACCCATTCTTCCGTGCCCAAATATATTCGAACAAGCCTGTGTCATCTGCTCCGGCTCCTCCTGGGCAAATGGGGTTGTCTTCCCGCGCTGTTGCACTACCTAGAACCAGTCTCTAGAGATTGTATAAGTGATTGAACCAAACGTCCTTTGGTAAGTGTATGTATGGGCGAGCTGAGACATAACCAAAAAGAACCAGCGCTTTTTTGTAGTGTTTCTCCATTCGCACTGGACCGTGTCCAATGCTCAGTAACACACCAGCCGATCCCGTGGCCAAACCACAACCAGGGCAACATTAGGTAGATCGGAAGCATGTGACTGTCATTGCCATTTCAGGAAACCTCCAATATCCTCCAATGGTCCAATAATGTGTCTTGTTGTCAAAGCTTTCGAGGACATGTTCCATAGTGTCAATCGCCAAGGTTTAAACTCTAAAGGCGCTGCAGTCCTTCTTCAACCACTCAATTGGCATCTGGCCACAACGCCGAGAAAACAGAACGAACTGACCGAATCTAGGAATTGGACATGAATAAAGGTACAGAACATGAATTTAGCCGATGCCTGCCCATCAACCTTTGCAGCTGAAGCATTTCTTGCCTCCGTATTTAGTCTGATTTTCTAGTTCAATCATGAAATCGAGATTGGGACAACAGGTCAAAGAATCGTCCATGCCTTTCTAGATCGTCGGCGCTGCTTTCTTGATACCTATCCGGAAGCATGACAGCTGCGTTTGGACAATGGACACATGTGTAGCCTCATTGTCTGCGAGCTACCCATGTCAGGTACTGTAGAACAAACACGCATCCGGTGTCTTTTATAAAATCAAAACATAACTATTTGCCTGTGTGGATTTTATCTGTGTTTTGCCTTCTACACGAAGGTTTTGGAACTGTCAAATTGCCATTGACTCAAACCCCAAAGAAAACTAGGAACAATGGGTTTCTGATGTATCCTTGCATGCAGCTTACCGGCCTTATTGTAGCTACTACCTCGCCTTGACAGACCATCCCCCCCTCGCCGAAAAACATAAATAATCACAGAATGTTGCTATATAATCTCAATACCGGCCTTGTTTGGCTCAGCAGGAAAGTCTCTTCCAGGTTCTGCAGCCTGAGACGTCGCATCAGGAAACGTCAGTCTGTGGAAACATCTCGCAGGCCGTCTATCTACATAAGGAAATTCACAAAACTGACCCAAATCTGTTCAATCACTTGGACCGTCTAATTACTGTG